TTTGTTTGTGTGCTGGTCTATTGCATTGCATAGATGACTCATTATGAGGCTTAGGTATTCTGTTGAGATGTTTGGTATTAGTTAATGCATTATTCAAATTAAGAGAAAAGAGCTATTTTTTTTTCTTTATCAGGTTTCCAATTTTCCCCTTCTGTTTTTGTTTTGTTTTTTTCCTATGTCTTGGCTCGTTGTGGTTTTTACTATTTACAATTAACCAACAAGAAAAATAATTAAAATTTGCTATGAATTCATTATTATTCCTTACAGTGCAAATTTAATGGCTACTCAATATTAAAAAATAAATCAATTGAATGTGGAAAGCAAGCAGTGGATGATAAAAGTTCCAGTACTTAAAAAAGGAAATACAAAGGTGAATAATAACACACAAGGATTAGGAAAGCTTTTAAAGTTGATCTTCATTGATGAAGAGGTAAAAATCTTTAGTCCTTTTTTAATATAATTTTGATATAACATTTGAATATTTTAATATAGATTATGAATTTAATCTTATTTATGAACTGCAGGGAAAAAAAAATCAGTTGTGATGGTTAATAAGACAATAACAAAATTTCAATTCTCTTTAATAAAAGACAAATCATATATAATATCAAATGCATTTGTCAAATCTATTAAGAAAGAATATTTCAATGTTAACAAAGAGATTGAGTTAACAATTACATCCTATACCAACATAAGAGAAGTAGAAACTCCTATAAACTTGGAAAAAATGTTGCTTGATTATCATCTAGTGGATAAAGTGATGGAAATCCCAAAAGGAGAAATATTTGGTAAGTTTTCTTCATTTTATATGAATTTTATTAGAATAAATATATGTTTAATTTATTTATTGACATTAACATATGTTAATTATAGACACATTGGGTTTTGTTATTGAAGTCAAATCTTGTTTTATGGAACGCAATGCCAGGTGTCAAATAACAATAATGAATGATAAGTAAGTATATATTATACTATAGTTATTTTTTTATATTTTCATCATTTGAAACTTATTTAATAAAGATCATTATATATATATATATATATAATTGCAGGATGAAATCCATTGAAGTACTATTGTAGAGAAGTTTGGTTGAAATTGAAGGTCAATTACTTGAAGACATGAAAGAAGAAAGACCAATTATTGCATTATTAAATGTGCAAGGAAATACATATTAAGGTAATTGATATATTTTAAAATTATATTTTATTGTGGCTAAAACTTGCTTAAATTTTTAAAACTTATTATTTACTATTTATAAACTTGGTCAAATTTTCAAATAGTTTAATTTTTTTTTAAACTTATCATTTACTAATTGTATATTTTTCAGGTGTTTACCAACTAAATACATTCATAATATCTTCCATCATTATTAATCCTACAATAAAAAAGGCAAAGAACTTAAGAAGGTGGTAAGTTCTTTATTTTCTTTCAATACATTGCACTCAAATATTCTAGAAATTAAAGTTATTTTATATTAATTAATAAAATATTAATTAATTTATTTATTAGGATATCTGATTACGAAAGTCACAATGTGATATCATACTCAATGCTTGAGAAAAAAATAGAAGAATTAAAAGTCTCTTTGGAACAAATCATTGATCCATCAGTTGCAACTGCAAATGTTTATAATATTCAGTTCTATTAAATTATTATTTTTTAAATACTATAAAAAATTAATTTTCTTTAATTTTGTAGAATATGGTATATTCATTCAATGCAACTGTAATGAATATTACCAATAAAGAAAAACTATGATATGATGCTTGCAAAGAATGCAAAGGGAAGGTAGAAATTGATGAAGACATCAACCAAGCATGGTGCAAAAAATGCAGAAAATTCACTACAAAATTTGGACCAAGGTAAGAAATTTCATTGTAATAGCATGTTATGTACATAAAATAAGTATGCATTTATTATTCTAATCAAATGAATTTCAAACTAACTTATATCATGTTAATAGATGCATGTTAAAAATGGAGATCAATGATGGAAAGGAAAGTATTATACTCACGTTATTTCAAGCAACAGAAACTCTCATTGGTTGTGAAATTTCAAAATATCTCAACTACTTGAATGATAAGGTAATGAATTATTATTTACATAAATGTAATTTAATTTAATATAATATGAAATATTATTTATAACATTATTATTATTTAATTGCAGGAAGCAACAAAGAATAGAGAACTTGATTATTACAAAAATCTGGTTTCAAGTCTCAATGAGGAATTTAAATTTTCAGTGCAAATAAATAAAAAACACGAGGTTAAACGAGTTAAACGACGATTGATTGCTTCAAAAATACATAAAATTGAAGATAAAGATTTACCAACAACGAAAAGAAAAAGAAAGCTTGTGAAAAAGCAAAAGAAAAAAAAGAAGGAAAATGTTTCAATCCAATTTGATTATAATAGAAGATGATTCTCTAAAGACAGATGAAGATGTAGACAATAACCTTACACTAAAAGACTTCAAGAAAATGTTTTTCAATAGAAAGATCAAAATAGAGAAAGATTAGATGTTTAATTTTTATAAAACTTCTTATTGAGTTTTTTATATATATTTTTTGAATTTTAAATTTTATTTACCATCATAATTACAAATATTAAAATTAAATTATTGTTATATTATATTTTAATTGACTATCACGTGCATAGCACGTGGCCAAAAACTAGTATTACATAAATTGGCAATCAAGAACGTCAGGAAGGGCTTCAATAGAGATTTGGCATTGGGATGATCCAATTCCACCCATTCCAACCAAACCTTTGGTCTTATATAGATTTTCTGGATAGGAGGAGGAGAAGGAGGTTGAGGATGGCCATCATCAAGCTGGGGAAGGTATAGAGGGATCCTGTTTAATTGTCTACAATTCCTTATCCAAATTTCTTGGAGAGAATCGCAGACCATTACTCCATTTGTGTTACAAATGCTCTTCAATTTTGGCACAGAAGACAATCTGAAATAACTTAATTTGGGAAGAGCAAATTTGATGCTGTTCCTGGTAACTGTTCCTTCTTTCTGCATTTTCTGATCCTGAGGATATTTTTTCCTCCATTTCTTCACATTCCTCAATACTTAACACTTTCAGTTAAACATGAACAACTTTATTTCTCTAAATTTCTTATATAAATATATTGACGAAAGGAAAATTAGTTATGTAGCACTGGTTTAAACCATAAGAAAAATACATTTTTCCCATTTAATTCAGACAATGCAGTTAATAAAACTCAATTTCTGAATATTGGATGGGAGCTGAACACCATCTCGATTGATTCTGCAACCATTTAATTCAATGCATTTTTCCCCAAAGAAAGGACTAAAAAATTTCAATTTCAATTTCACAAAAAAAAAAAAAGCTGAATAAAAAATTGCTTTTGTAATAAAGGTCAAATCATGCACATGACAGGAGGAAAAAGTTTTTTGTGAAGAAGTAAAAGTGAATTCAGTGCAAAACTGATGATAAACAGAGTTACAATTCAGAGAGCGAGACATGTTTTTGTTCCACCATTTGCCTCACTTGGATCATTTGGTTTCTCATACAAAGCAATCGTGATTACGAAGGCATTGTCTTCAGCTGGGAAGTTCAATTTGCTGGGAAAAAATAGCAAACTATGACTCCCTTTCTGCTGCAATATTTGTCTTCACTTTTGAGGGATTTAAATTGCGTTAACGGTCACGTTTTTTGTCGCATCGCATTTGTCACGGTTGCGGATATAACGGAGACTTTCGCAATCATTGCGGCTATTGCGGTAGTAAATTTTTTAAAATTTTGCTCAATTTGCTATAAAATATAATAATTTTAATTATTAATCATAAAACCTCTTATTTTATAATTTTTAAAGTAATTTATATCATATAATGTGTTTTATTTATTTAAGAAAAAATATTTATAGTAAAATATTCATATTTAAAAAATTATTTATATGATAATTAAAAAATAAAAAGAGATAAATAAATATGTGAAAAATAAATAATCATAACGAATAATATATTTAATTATTTAATTACCATATTCATCAAATTATTACGGAACTATATTATGCATAAATAAAATAATAAGTGATTAGATATTCATAAATTAAGTAAGAACATTATTATTTATAAGTCAAAAGAATTGCTTTTTATGAACCTACAGTAAACCAAACTTGACTGCCTCCATGTTATAGGTGATTTTCAATAATAATAACCTCAAGTCTACTTCCCCTGTCTCTTGACTAAATTGCACAGACCCACACAACTTCTCATCCCTTCACCTAGCATTCAATAATTTTTTTTCTCCAAACCTTTATCCTCATCCCCATCTCTCAGTTCTCTTTTTATTTGGTGAGTGCTATCTACTTGCTTCTGTAAATCTCAAGTTTCACTCTCATCTCTTGTCTCTTATTTTAAGTCTCAGCAACTCTTGCCTCCTGCTATCAATGTAACATAGCCCAATCTAATCCCAAACACACAAAGTCATGGTAAATTTGAAAATTAAAAAAAAAAGATAATTTGAGTGTTAAATTAATTGTTTACTTTAAATTGCATATACTTGATTTTGATTGAAATTGAACTTGAGAGAATTGATTTTTTTGAAAGTTTAAGTTTTGTGGGTTTTTTTTTTCTGAATTTGTAAATTGATGTTTATTTTCTTTCTTGTTGTTTTTATTTTAAGTTTTTAAAGAAAATAAAATGATTTTTTTTTGAATTTTTGAATGAAAATAGGAATAGCGGCAATAGTGACAATAGCGAGCAATAGCGGACCACTATTGCCGCTATTCACCGTTATACCGCTATTCACCGTTATACCGCAATTCACGGCCGTGATTCATCCGTTATAAACGAGATTCAAATTTTCTCTCGTTTTTTCTCTAATAGCGGTGGTGAATAGTGGCGCGACCGCGAAATAGCGGCCGCGACACCGCTATCTGACCACTATTTGAATCCTTGCTTTTGACTGTACTGGCTGTGGCACCTACTCCTTGTTCTTCTGGCTCTGATGATGGTTATGATGAATAGAGCTCCTGGGTGATCAGTATAGCCATATCTCTTACAAGATCATGCATTTTAACTCTTCCATTTCCAACATTTTCTAACAAGCAATTGTCAATAAGTCTTCCTAGGATTGCCTGGCCCCTGTCAATGTTTGCTTGCATGTTGTATTAATCCTTTTCTAATCCAGTCCCTTATCAACTGCTCCTTCTGGATTCCTGAATCTTCATCATATGATGCAATAGTGAGGAAACAATTCTGAATTTTGGGATCATTCAAACGATCGTAGCTGAATCTCAATTGCTGATATACCATGCCTTTAACATCCACATCCATGACAGTCTGTACATTCCTTTTTAATTCCTCCGATACATCCCTCCATCTAGGAAGGCTATATTCACCTCTCATGCTACTGGCAACTGTGATTATTGCCAAAGGCAAACCAGCACAACGCTCAGCAATGGATCTAGCAAGTGGCACTAAAACTGTAAAACTCATTAGATTTTGACCAACCTTGTCCAAGAACAATGTCCACGCTTCTGCTCCAGGAAGCGGTTCCATTTTTATTACTTGACAATCCATGCGTCGACATACATCCAATGATCGGGATGTTAGAACTAATTTACTCCCATTACTTGCAGTAGGCTCAGGAATTCCAACTTCCTCTAGAGAAAAATTGTCCAACACATCATCTAAGATTAACACATAGCTTCCCTTTTGAGCAAATATTTCAGATAATATCCCTGCTCGTATTGTTTCATCTTCATCTTCTGAAATAACAGCACTAATTGGCTGTGCAATCTTATTCTGTAGTTCAATAGCACTACATTTGATCCATACAACAATATTAAACTGGTTTGCATCTTTTAAGAGTTCATTGTTGACAAGCTTGATTACACTTGTTTTCCCAACTCCTGGCATTCCATAAATTTCGATCTTTTGAACCTCATTACTCATCAGGTATCCCAAAATTTCATTGCTTTTAAGTGCGACTGTTTCACCAACTAAACTTGGTATCGGCAACACCTGTCCCATCCGCAAAGGATCATCAACAACCAAACCATCGGAAAATCTACCCTTTTCAAGAAGTTGTTCAACTTCAATCTTCTTACTGTAGACACCCAATTGGGTCCAGGCCCAGATCAATTGGGCCTGGCCCAAATGGGTAAGGCCCAATTGAATTTTTATCCTGTATTTTTTTTTCTTTTGTATTTTATTATTTATTATTATTATGTATTAATATATGTATATCTTCATTTTTTTATTTAGATTTATATGTATTTTATCTATATAGTTATATATTTTTTATTATTATATTATTATTATTATTTTTTTGTTTTGTAATATATTTTTGGGTTTATCTTATTTATTTTCTTTTAAATTATCTGTTAATTTTATCTGATTTTTTTCCCGATTTATCTGATTATTATCTTTCTTTTTTTTTTTTTCTTTCTTTTTTTTTTGGATGGTTGAGATTGAAGCTGAGGAATCCTACTGGGAATGGGAATTCAATCAAGAGAGTCCAGACTGGATTCAAAGATTGAATTCCCGTCCAAAGGGGAATTGGGATTGATCAGAAACTCCTGATCAATCCCTATATAAAGCACCTCCTGGAACAGATCAAACACACAGAAAACAGGGAGCGCAGCTACTGAATTTGAGAGAAAAGAGGTGTTTAGAAGAGTTTTCGAAGGCTAAGGAAGGTTGAGAAGTGTTAGGATAGCTGTAAGGAATCAGAAATAAGTTTTTAGAAATTTTTGGCGAAAAATTTTCTGGAAATTTCTGGGAAATTTCCAGATTCCGGTGAAGTTTCCGGCGAGGTTTGAATTTTTCGGCTATGATTTCGGCCAACTTTGAAGTTTCCGGCGACCGGCCCAGTTTCCGACGAAGAATCCCAGAAACCGGTGAATATTCCCAGAAATCGGCGAAGATTTAGGCCAGATTCCGGCGAAATTTCCAGATTCCGGTGACTTTTTCCAGAATCCGGCACCGGTGTTCTTCAGTTTTTAGAGAGAAGGGAGAGAAAAAGGGAAGAAGAGAGAAGAGGGGAGGGGTGTTCTGTCGAAAAACGAAGGTCAGTGCCTTTTATACCCTCCCAAAACGACGTCGTTTTGGCTTTAAGTTAACTAGGGGATCCGCGCGTTTTGTCGAACCCGACCCGACCCGAGCGTCGACCCGCTTTCCTGACCCGCGCGTACTGCCCCTCCTCCAAGCAAAGCCGAGCCGAGCCGAACCTCCAAGCCGCTCCCCTGAGCCGTTTTTTCTTCCTTGAGCCGAGCCGAGCCGAGCCGCGCCGATAGCCGAGCCGCTCCAGGTTTTTTTTTTGAATTTTTTTTTTATTTGTTTTATTTATTTATTTATTTATTATTTTTATTTATTAGATTAGGTTTATTTAATATTCTTTTTATCTTTATTTTATTTTTATTTTTGTTTTACTTTTCTTTTTTTTATTTTTTTTTATTATTCTATTTTTCTTTAAATAAAAAAATCAAAAGTTCCAAAAAAAAATATTTTTAGGGAAAAGTTGAAAGTATCAATTTTCCTTAAAAATAAAATTTCAAAAAAACATTTTTGGGGAAAAGTTGAAAGTATAAATTTTCCTTAAAAACAAAATTTCAAAAAAAAGGTTTTTGAGGAAAAGTTGAAAGTATCAATTTTTCTTAAAAATAAATTTCCAAAAAATATTTTTCGGGGAAAAGTTGAAAGTATCAATTTTCCCCACACAAAAAAAAATCATTCTTTTCTTTTTTTTTTTATTTTGATTTTGATTTTTTTTCTTTAAATAATCCGACGACGGAGCCTCTGCAAGTGAAACAGTAGTTTTTCTTGTATACTCTTGAGGTGAGAGAATTTTCTCAATTTTCTGCTAAAAGTATTAGAGTCAATTGAGAATAATTTTCAACAACTAACTACTTGGTAAAATTTTAAGGCTTTTTGGATAACACAAATTTAAGTTGGTACCATCTTTTGATGGGCGTTGTGAGGGTGCTATAACCTTCCTCACACGTAACCGAACTCCCGAACCCTGTTCTGGTTAGCAGACCCGAACCTATTCTTTTAGGGACCCTTAAGCTTAGGTGTTCCCTAAAAGGGCAGATTCCTTAGGTGGCCAATCACACCTAGATAAAAAAGATTGGTGGCGACTCCCCTTAAGTCAATGTCTAGCGATAGATCTTCGGATCTAGACGTTACGACAGCTTGGCGACTCCGCTGGGGACTTTGAGAGTCAGGCCAGCAAATAATTTGTGTTATCCAAAAGCCTAATAAAATTGAACCCTTTTGTATATATGTATTATTATTCATTCATGTTTATTTACTTTGTTAATTATGTCATTCATATGCATGTGCATAACATGAGCTCTACACCCGAGCTCCGTCCCTCTAGGAGGGAGTAAAGTACCTATTGCTTTCGTGAGGTCTAATGCCTCCGCAGTGGCTAGCGAAATACTCCCACTCAAATTGAACCTTTTCCGCTTGTAGCCTGTAATGGGTGAGGATTAGGGTGCCTTACTAGTCTGTGATGGACAAAGATGTAAGGAACAATTTGAGGAACTTTAGACTCTGACCTTAAAACCGCATGTAGTGAACCTTAAAGAGTGCCTACACCTAGGATAGAGCCCTTTCTACCCAATGATAGATATACCCTGAAATTAGGACACAAAAAGGATGTTTATCTAATCATTTTGATTGTCTGACTTTGTGCATCATTTTCATTATCATATGTAACATTATGCATCAGCATCACTTTCATTTCATCCATGAAACTAACTATGTTGTTTGTCTGATTGTATGCATCTGCATTATTTTCATGATCATGTTTTAACACAATCATTTGCATCTATTTCATATTAGATTTCATTCAGAAAAATGTTCATTTCATTCGTGCATCAAAGCATCATACATAAAGCATAGCATAACATTTTTAATCATAATTGTGGTGCTAGAGGTTCAAGGATAGCTCCACCAAATAACCCCACTCATCAATACAAGAGCTCAAGCTAGACTAATGGAACAAGAAAATTTCAGTCGTCTTGAGAGAATAGAGAAAGCTCAGGAAAAGTTAAAAGGGGAGTTGAATAAGATTTTAGGGGCAAACTGATTTAATATGGTGGTCCAAATTTTAAGTCAAATGTTACTCATCGACAGCGAGTGGAGAGAGCCTGTTTTTCAAGAAGTGAATTTCAATTGAACAGAACATCGATCATATTCCAATAGCTACAGTTGAAGATGTGAAGCTTGTGGTGGCTACTGCTCAGAGAGCTTTTTCTAGAAACAAAAGTAAAGATTAGGCTTCAGCTTCTGACGCTGTTCATGCCAAGTATTTACGGGCCATCGTTTCCAAAACAACAAAGAGAAAATTTGAATTAGCAAAGCTTGAGCAATTGATTACGGGAAACCACTTGATGAAGCAACTTAGGACATTGATGATGTTGTTGGATGTTTTGAGTACTATACGTACCTTGCCGAAAGTTTAGATGCGAAGTAAAAGGTTGCCATCTTTCTTCCTATTGAGACATTTAAGAGTTATGTGCTTAAAGAACCACTTGGGGTCATTGGATTGATTACTCTATGGAAGTATCCACTGTTGATGACAGCCTGAAAAGTAGCTCTTGCTTTGGCTGTAGATTATGCTGCAATACTGAAACCTTTCGAGTTGGTATCTATCACCTGTTTGGAGCTGGCTGACATATGTAGGACGGTTGGTTTTCCTCCAGGTGTCTTGAACATTTTAACTGGATCGAGCTTGAAAGTTATGATTTCTTTGGCATCTCATCTCAATGTTGACAAGATTGCCTTTACCAGAAGCACTACAACAGGGAGCATGATAATGGAAGCAGCCACTCAAATGGTCAAGCTTGTATCTTTAGAACTCAGCAGGAAAACCCAATCATTTTGTTTGAGGATCAAGAATATGAAGAGTCACAATGAATCAATGGGGCGAGATAAAAATCCTTCACCTAGTTGCCTAGGGGCATGATTTTAAAGAGGATGTTAAAACCGGTTGAATGCTACTTACCATTCTAAGAGTTCTTTTAAAGTAATGTTAGGATTTCTTTTCTGCAATATGATTTCACTTGTTATCATTTTAATAAGGGCAAGTTAATGCATTTCATTACATTTTCTCTTTCATTCGACCATTACTCCATGCTCTGTCACCTTTCATAACTTTATACTCCCATTCTCAAATTTCAGATGATGAATATTTAGACAATGATAACAGTAATTCTGGGATTTAATTTTGAAAACTCATCCACATTAATATGAGAAGATGGTTTGAGCAAAAAGTAAATTGTTACTGGAGGTGAAATAGATATGTCTTGAAGATGTGTAATCTTTTATACCAGTTCATGAGCTTTGTTCAATAGATGATGTTCAAGAAAGGTATTCACAATTGAGATGAAAAATGGCCATCTTTCTTTTACCATTTGAAAAACCATTTATTGTTACCCCTTTGAGCCTATCATTTTTTTTTTAGAAACCCCAACCAAGGATCACCCTCTACACTGGAGGATAATTTTTGAAAAAAAAAAAAAAAACACCACAAAAGGTCTCAAAGATGAAAAGAGAAAAAAAAAAGCAAAAAAAATAAATGCCACACACGATTTGGGGCAAAGTAATGAGAATCCTTTATGTGAGGAAGGAAAAAGTAGTGAAATGATGTGGGGCAAAATGCCAAGTTATATCAAATGATCCTTTGGTTTTGAACCTTTTTAATATATGTTTTGAGCCTATTATATCTATTTTTTTTATGACCCTTCACCTTGGCCTACGTTACAACCTTGAAAAGTCCATTTGGATCAAGTGTGAATACTCAATTTGAATGATCATATGTTGGGCGAAGGCATGCTCATGAGGAAGCAATGGAATCATGCTACATTACTCTAAAGTTTGATGTATGAAGGATATCAACAATAGATGAAAAATGAGGAAAAAAAGATGATGAAAAAAAAAAGAGAAAAAAGAAAGAAAGATGAAAAAATAAAAAAATAAAAAAAAAATTCAAATTGAAAACCTGAAAGGTTGATTTTGATAGAAAAAGATCCAGGTCAAATGGCTCACATGAATGGAAGATCAAAGACATCTGAAGATCCTTCAAAGACTGGGGCAAAGTTCGCCAAGCTCAAATTGACTTCAACAGTAAATGGAATGAGTTTTTGAAAAAGAATCCTAGATTAATGTTGAGAATTGTCTGAATATTCATCATTTGGACATACCATCCATCCCAATGACATTTCTTTTCCCATTTGTTCTGTACCAAAATAGATCTTCATTGATTATCTTTGCCATAGTTCACCTTTTGTTCTCTTATTGTTACACCCTTAGAATGAATTGAGAAAATGCTTGATTGCATTGTATTTGTCAAGAATTGAAATGATAATGAATGAATGAATATGTGCTTAAAAGAGTCCTGTATTCATTTGAAAAGAAATCTAAGATGATGGTGGTGACAAAATGGTAGAGACCTAAAAGAGATGATTTGGAAGGATATATGATGTGACCAAACAGAGAATATGATGGGGCAAATTTTGAAAAGTGGTATAACCAAGAGATGAGTACAAGGATAAATTGATCGATATGACTTGTAAGTTATGATTGAATGATGAGAACAATCAGTGGACAGAGTTTATTTTGGAATGGTTAATTCTGAGACAATGACCCAGTGATGGTTGATGAAACTTGTTTTGAAATTTGTTAGTGCTGAAAAATTCATTTGAATGATGGTCAAGTGATGATCGATTGATGAAGCTTATTCCAGAGTATCGAGAAACTGAACAAGGAAGAATGTGAGTGGAAGACAAATCGAGAGCTACACTGGTTCGATCTTAGAAGAGCAGTGCAATTGGATCTCTGAAGAATCAAAGGGCTTGATCCCTAAGAAAAGAGCTTGAAAAACTTGAGTACCATACATTGAACAGGAATTAATTGACCAACATTTGCATAGCATGCATTGAAATTCATATGCATTTGCATAGCATACACTACTTGCAGGAAAGTATAGTGTATAAATTCAAGAAGCAGGGGTGTTCCAACATCCCACATGAAGAAGACAGATATGAAGATACTTTGCAAAATTGAAAAAAAAAAGAAAAAGATTGTCAGGTAAGTTCTTAATCCTTGAAATAGGATGTTCTTCTGGCATCAGGATTGATTTGTAAGACCTTTGGGCATAATCTCCTGAAATTCCTCCAAACATAACCTTCAACTCCTTTGGACATGATTGTCAGGGAGTAATTTACTTTTCAAAGTTCGTTGCCTCTGTTTAGAGGAGCAATTTACTTTTTCAAAGTCGTGGTACCTCTGTTTAGAGGAGCAATTTACTTTTCCAAAGTCGTGGTACCTCTGTTTAGAGGAGCAATTTACTTTTCAAAGTCCGTTGCCTCTGTTTAGAGGAGCAATTTACTTTTTCAAAGTCGTGGTACCTCTGTTTAGAGGAGCAATTTACTTTTCAAAGTTCGTTGCCTCTGTTTAGAGGAGCAATTTACTTTTTCAAAGTCGTGGTACCTCTGTTTAGAGGAGCAATTTACTTTTCAAAGTTCGTTGCCTCTGTTTAGAGGAGCAATTTAGTTCCAAAGTCGTGGTGCCTCTGTTTAGAGGAGCTTTGGTTAAAAAAACAAAAAAAAATAATAAAAACAAAAAAACAAAAAAAAAAAAAAAAAACAAAAAAAAACAACAAAAAACAACAAAAAAAATACAAAAAAACAAAAAATGAAAATGTTGAGTCTTGATTGGGTGTCTACGTCTTTGCACAATTTCTGTTTCACAGAAAATGTGCAAAGAGGGGCAGCTGTAGACACCCAATTGGGTCCAGGCCCAGATCAATTGGGCCTGGCCCAAATGGGTAAGGCCCAATTGAATTTTTATCCTGTATTTTTTTTTTCTTTTGTATTTTATTATTTATTATTATTATGTATTAATATATGTATATCTTCATTTTTTTATTTAGATTTATATGTATTTTATCTATATAGTTATATATTTTTTATTATTATATTATTATTATTATTTTTTTGTTTTGTAATATATTTTTGGGTTTATCTTATTTTTTTCTTTTAAATTATCTGTTAATTTTATCTGATTTTTTTTCCCGATTTATCTGATTATTATCTTTTTTTTTTTTTCTTTTTTTTTGGATGGTTGAGATTGAAGCTGAGGAATCCTACTGGGAATGGGAATTCAATCAAGAGAGTCCAGACTGGATTCAAAGATTGAATTCCCGTCCAAAGGGGAATTGGGATTGATCAGAAACTCCTGATCAATCCCTATATAAAGCACCTCCTGGAACAGATCAAACACACAGAAAACAGGGAGCGAAGCTACTGAATTTGAGAGAAAAGAGGTGTTTAGAAGAGTTTTCGAAGGCTAAGGAAGGTTGAGAAGTGTTAGGATAGCTGTAAGGAATCAGAAATAAGTTTTTAGAAACTTTTGGCGAAAAATTTTCTGGAAATTTCTGGGAAATTTCCAGATTCCGGTGAAGTTTCCGGCGAGGTTTGAATTTTCCGGCTATGATTCTGGCAAACTTTGAAGTTTTCGACGACCGGCCCAGTTTTCGACGAAGAATCCCAGAAATCGGCGAATATTCCCAGAAATCGACGAAGATTTAGGCCAGATTCCGACGAAATTTCCAGATTCCGGTGACTTTTTCCAGAATCCGGCACCGGTGTTCTTCAGTTTTTAGAGAGAAGGGAGAGAAAAAGGGAAGAAGAGAGAAGAGGGGAGGGGTGTTCTGCCGAAAAACGAAGGTCAGTGCCTTTTATACCCTCCCAAAACGACGTCGTTTTGGCTTTAAGTTAACCAGGGGATCCGCGCGTTTTGCCGAACCCGACCCGACCCGAGCGTCGACCCGCTTTCCTGACCCGCGCGTACTGCCCCTCCTCCAAGCCGAGCCGAGCCGAGCCGAACCTCCAAGCCGCTCCCCTGAGCCGTTTTTTCTTCCTTGAGCCAAGCTGCAAGTGAAACAGTAGTTTTTCTTGTATACTCTTGAGGTGAGAGAATTTTCTCAATTTTCTGCTAAAAGTATTAGAGTCAATTGAAAATAATTTTCAACAACTAACTACTTGGTAAAATTTTAAGGCTTTTTGGATAACACAAATTTAAGCTGGTACCATCTTTTGATGGGCGTTGTGAGGGTGCTATAACCTTCCTCACACGTAACCGAACTCCCGAACCCTGTTCTGGTTAGCAGATCCGAACCTATTCTTTTAGGGACCCTTAAGCTTAGGTGTTCCCTAAAAGGGCAGATTCCTTAGGTGGCCAATCACACCTAGATAAAAAAGATTGGTGGCGACTCCCCTTAAGTCAATGTCTAGCGATAGATCCCCGGATCTAGACGTTACGACACTTACAAACATTGTTTTTAAGGAATCCACGAGTAAAAGCTGCTAGGTCCAAGTGCTTCTGATTCTGGGTTCTGTATTTCACCATTTACCCTTTCTACATTTTCCAACCACAGCTTAACTTCTTTATTGACTTCCTTTCTTGGATTCAGCTCAGCTTTAATTCTTGATGCTGTGTCTTCTTTTTGACCGTTTAGTTGCTTTCTTTTTCTCTTCAGATTATTTACATTCTGATCAAGGCCTCGGGGAATTTCCAGTGTTTTCCTATAAAGCCCATATAGTATTTGCAGCTTCAAGAATTTTCCTACTTGGTCAGTAAAGTCCCTGCATAACACCCAATACATGGCATTAGAATGCTTTGTCATGACAAATAAATTTTAAAAGAACTTAATTATGTAAACATATATTTTAAGAAGCCTATTTTTGGACAAAAAAAAGTTGGCCATTTGCTCAGAAATTTAGTATGATTTCTGATTATTAACTCCATATTTTGTGACTTTTGGGAACAAATTCTTCATTTTCTTATTACTACTTGTTAAAAATAATTTTTCATAATGTAAATTAAAGAGTCCTACTCATAAACCCCAGGCCAAAGCTGCAAAAAATAGTAAAAATAACGAAAAAGAACAGTGTCAGAGAAGTGTATAATAGTCAACACTCATAACCAAAATTTCCACATACATGAGATTTTTTAATGATATAACCATTTTAAGACAATGACGAATCTGATTTTGGATAGAGGTATGCCTGGTTCCTTGAGGAGAAATCTGGATACCTGCAAAAGAATTTGAAATTTACTCATCAATTTTTACTTTTAACTGATTATAACAACAAATTCCTAAAGTTGAGCCCTTTTCAATAATGTTCCAGCAACTTCAGTTTGTACTACATATTTTGTTGACTTAAGTTACCCATCTAAACATTTAATTCTAAAAGATTACTTGGGTTTTTCAGTTCATAATTAATTGTTTGATCAAAATATTCATGCATCTTGAGCATGAAGAGACCAAAAAATTAAAGCATATGAATAATATGAAAACAAGTTAATAACCCAATCAAGAACAGTCAACGTTAAGACTCAAGTCAATATGTGAAGGTGAGAAAGTAATAGCAAAGCAGAGCAGAAAAATATTTCATGAACAAGCATGAACTTCCGCACAATTCATAACAGTCAAAAGAAACATAGTATGGGAAATTAAATTACCTTATACATGAAGAAAAGGCCCAGCTAATAAAAAGAAGCAAATTCCCTTGCCAACAGTAGAACCTTGGTAGAAGAGGTATATAGACTGTGGGGCAAAGAAATGGGAAAGTAGGAAAAAATACCAATAAGAAAGAGGGAAGGTGCCGAGAAAAGTTCAAATGAAAACAAGAGAAATGACCTTTGTTTGTACCAGTCAACTTAATGGAAACTCTCCGAAGAAATATTAAAGCAACTTGAAGTGTAGGTGTGGATTCCACCTTCCTTATTTGTTGATTTTATGATACACTACAAAATTTGGCATTTGCAGGGTCAAAGGTCAACTACTTTATTTCTCTTTTGTTCTCTTTATCATATCCATGTGTTTTCTTTTTCCCTATGGTTAGGAGTGTTCCATGGGGGAAGTCCAAGTTGCTTAAGGAAAGTATAAGGTATTCAAGTGCAAATCTGCAGCTTCGAACTTCCAAATTAAGTTTCATATTCTTTTAGGCTGTCCAATGAAGATAATTTGCTAATAGACTTTATTAAACGTTCTAAATATGTATGTTGTACATTAGTCGTCATGTCCGAATCCTGACTTTATTAAACATTCTAAATATAATCGGTCCATTACTTAATTGATACCAAACAAGTCAACTGGCCATGTCAACATGAACAAGGTATAAAAGGTAAGATCAAGCCATAGGTAACACATTTCGAACCTTACACCATCTCTATTTCCTCCTACCTACCTTCTTCCTCTTAATACTTGGCTGACTTAACTAACATTGGCTATCTAACCAGCCTTTTGACAGGATCTCGATATCCAAGACCAGAAAACATATATATTGCTCTCCTTGTTGGAAATATAAGCTTTACACGAAATTAAATATATGTATTTCAAAATTTTGGGTAAAGGAAATACAATCAACTAACTTTGCAGCAGAATTAAGGGTAGCAGAATCTGCCATGTTCTCAATGATTAAATACGGAGAGAAATTCTTGACATGTTTCTATTATCAGACAAGAAACAAAGTACAAAACAGACAGACACAAAGTACAGAGCCAACAAATATTACATTAGGAAACCTTGGCAATTCCACGGTGAAGATGATTTAAGAAAATTTAGAACACTGGTGTTCTGCAGAGGAGTGAAATTTACAATTCTACCTTCACTACCGGAGTGAGCAATTTCCCATTTCGTCTTCTTAGCCACGGTCTTAAAATTTTGGAACACTATGTTGAAATGATATGGTATCTAGAAAAAGATAAGACCAGAAAAGGCATCAATTATAAGAATATAAAATACAAAGGAAAAAGAAAACTAGGCAAAGAGAGATTGAATATAAAGGACTTACAACTATGCCTAAGCCTTCTATTCTACAGCTTAAATTGGTCTTGCTTTCAAAAAAACCAAAGAAAAGGTCACCAGTGTCTTCATCAGCCATTCTGACTTGACAGGGAATTTAGGGGAGTGTAGAATGGCAAATGGTTACAACTGACAACGTGAGAAGCCACCATTTCCTTCTATTTTGCATTAAGTTCGTGACAAATTATCTCTCACCTCGTACAGCATCTAGGGAAAGACAGACAGAAAAGCTTGAAATTAATATATAGGAAAGGAAAAAAATGGTAAGAAATAAATGAAATTGAGTGATATACAAGTGATGAAATGAAGGACCTGTAACTGTAAACTTGTACAGCATTTAATCCAACAGCTTACTTCCGTTGTGCTTCTAACCAAAAGCTGGAATCATAGGCATGTCATGAAATACGCCAAAAAATAAAGCCTTATAAGAAAATTCCGTACAAAGCTTGATGAATAATTTTTTGAGAAAAAAATTCTTTTATCAAAGATGGTTCTGAATTCAATCCAAACACGAGGAAAATGTTTAGGGAGCTATTTATGAAAGTACCCATACAACTTATATGAGAAAAAGAATTGTTTGATGTGATCTATGATAACAACCAATAAAGGCAAATAAAGAAGGAGACCAATTATTGAGCTCTTCAAGACCAATTAGCGTAAAAATCTAGACAGAGGAAAGCTGCAAATAGATTGTGATGCAACCGATTTTTATGCAGGTTCAATGTAATATCCTATTTATGAAATTGTAACATGGGTGATATTCAAATTCAGTTTTCTGATCAAAATCATTCATATGAAATTAAAAATTTCTGGCCATACCAAGAGCTTGAACCATAACATCATCAAAAGGTTGAAGACTTCCAATGTTAGCCATAACCATAATTATAACAACACCAAGAAAATACATCAAACCAGACTCTGACACAGTAATTGTATGAACTCTTTGGGACAAATTAATCATAGATCCACACAAAAGCGGAAAATTAATATTTGACCTGAGCACAAGGATCAACCAATCAAAGAGTTTGACCAAAATTGTTCGTGCTTACCTAAATTCTCAGAAGCCTCTAAAACGTCAACAAGAAGGATAGAAACAGAGACTTGAAAAGAACATGCATCAAGGGAGTTCCGAACGTCAAAGTGTGAGCTGCCGTTAAATAATCCTTGACGTGCTAAGATCTGCAGGAAAACTGGAAAGGCAAAACATGATATTAACATTTAAGAAAGTGAAAATGGAGAGAGATGAAGAAGACAAAAGGAAAGAAAGTGTTAGAAATAAGCTACCATTGTAGTCAGGCGTTTGATCAAATAATTTTCCTGCTGTCTCAACAGAAAACGAAAAGTAACAGTGAACGCTGTAATGGTCAGACATTTCAACGAACATGTAACTACTCCTACTTAAGGTAACGCTCCAACAGAGACTTGGCATTTGGCTGGTCCAACTCAACCGATTCCCACAGCAGCTTTGGAACACGAATTACTTCAAGAGAAGGAGGGGGAGATGGTTGGCCATCATCATCCAGGGGAAGATTCAGAGGTATCCTCTTTAATTTTGGACAATCATCTATCCAAATATACTCAATAGAATCACAAACCATTACTCCATTTACACTGCAAATGCTCTTCAATTTTGGTAGCATTGTCAAGTACAATGTGCTTAATTTGGGAAGAGTAAAATTGATGGCACTTATTCCTTCATCCTCCGATTCTGATTCTGGTGCTATTATTTCTTCCATATCCTTGCAGGAGCTAACGCTTAAAAGTTTCAAATTTTGGAGGTTCTGCAAGACCCAATTGGACGAGAACAACTTCTTTATATTTTGACAATTACTCATGTCAATATCAGAAAGAGAGGAAAAAACATTATGTGGCCGCAAGATAAACCGCGAGGAAAATACCACTTCTTCACACAAATTGCACTTCCTAATTTCCAAGCGCTCAACATCAGATAGAACCTTAATACCATCTCTGCAGATGTTACAACTTACTTCAATTACTTTTTTCTCCTCCGCTAATGGAAAATGCTCTCGTCGTCCACCCACATAAATGAGGTATTGACGAGGCCTTTCTGTTGGAGCAGGCAAAGCTTGGATATAATTGTTCCACTCATACAAGTCATAAAACCTCCCTTCAAAGTATTCCAACTTCCTTAATCCACCTATTTCCTCTCCTCTCACTTGTATGTCTACCTCCATAGCTAAGTGCTGAAGTGATGTGAAATTTGACAATATTCCATCGGCCACCTCTGTTATACTCGTACCAATCAAATCAAGATATTTGAGATTTACCAGCCTTTCCAACCCATGAGGGAGATCCTTGATTTTTGTATTTCGAAGGTCCAACTTCTTTAAAGATTGAAGTTTTGAAAAAGATGGCACCTTCCGTAAACCACAACATTGACCAAGCAACAATGTAGTGAGAGTTTCCAAATTAGAGATGGAATTTGGTAAACTCTTAATCTCGTAATTAAGGGAAAGATCAAGAATCTTGAGTTCATGCATTTGCTCAAAGAAACACTCCGGAATTCTCTGTATATTGCATTTGTACAACAATAAGGTTGTGAGCTTTTGACACCTTGATATGGAATTTGGCAAACTCTCGATATAATTCCCAGAAAGATAAAGAATCTTGAGTCCATGCATTTGCTCAAAGAAACTTTCCGGAATGCTCGTTAAATGGCAATCGGACAACAATAAGGTTGTGAGCTTTTGACACTTTGGTGGTGGCATTTGGGATGGAATTTGTAATCTCCAATTCTGCATCAATGATACCTTCTCCAAATCTTCATTCCATTCTTGCACATTTGGTATCTCTTCCAATTGCAATCTAGCTCTCACCAAGAATCGTGGTCCTGTGATACGTAATGCCATGTCCCTCACAATGTCATGCAGCTTCACAGTACGTGGAGTACCGTTTTCAATCAAGCAACTGTTTTTTAGTTTAGTCAATATAGAATGCCCCTTGTCAGCCACTTTTTGCATGCTATACATTTCTTCCACAAGCCCCTCCGCAACCCATAGATCTATTAGCTCATCTATATGGATATCATGATCCTCAGGGTATAATGCACAACACAGGAAACAATGCTTCAATTTTTCATTATGTAAACGATCATAGCTGAACTGAAGCTGTCGAAACACCTTCCCTTCCATCCCACTCACGCTTTCTTCATGTCTACTTAATTCATGGAGCGCATTGCTCCAGTCATGAATGTCCCGTACACCCTTCATGCTGCTTGCTATTGTAACAATAGCCAAGGGCAAACCAGCACATTCTTCAGCAACAGATTCCGCAATGGGCAATAGATGTGGGTCCTTCAAAACATCTTGACCAACTTTTTGCGAGAATAGGCTCCATGCATCTTGTTTTGAAAGAGTAGGTATTCTAACTTCTAGACAACCCAAATAGTGACACACATCTAATGACCGGGTTGTTACCACTAGTTTACTCCCATTAGAAGGCTCGGGGATGCCTACCTCGTCAAGAAAAAAATTGTCCCAGAGATCGTCCAAGATTAACACATACTTGCCTTTTTGGGATAACATTTTGTCAATGAACCCTGCTCTTGCTGCTTCATCTTCACCTTCAAGAAGGGATACTTGCATTGCTTTTGCAATGCTGTTTTGTAATTTAAAGATGTTCATCTCCTTTGATACAGTGATCCATATCACGATGTTGAACTTTTCAGTCTCCTTTAAAAGTTGGTTGTTTACGAGCTTCATGATAGTGGTTTTACCCACACCTCCCATTCCCCAAACTCCAATCTTTGATACACCATCATCCATCAACTTTGCCCAAATTTCTTCCATGCAAATCTTTGCAACATCGCCTACTAAAGTTGTTGTAGATAGCGCTTGTCCAATCCACCGAAGGTCGTCAACAACCAGACTATCTTGAAACTTACCCTGTTGAAGAAGTTCGTCAACTTCTAATATCTTCTTGGGAATTCTTTCTTGAAGGAATCCCTCGTGAGGCAACACTATCTTCTCCATAATTTTGTTGAAGGTCTTGTATTTCCTCGTTTACTCTGTCAACTTCTTTCAACCATAACTGAACTTCTTCCTTTAGTTTCTTTCTTGGATTCTGCAACTCTGCGCTTATTTTGGGCTTAGTGTCTTCTTTTAGAGCCTTGAGTCTCTGCAGCTTTCTGTTTAGGTCATCCATCAGACTTTGGGAAAAATCAATTTCTTCGCGTCCCTACGTACATAACAAAAAATATGTTTTATCATAAACCAAATTGATGAACTTTATAACCATGTAAATAGATGCAGCAAAATTCTAAGCAGCATATTTAATTTAATTAGACAAGTTGGCTATTAAGGATGCCAATCAAGGTGCATTGTTTAATAAAAGAATCATTAATTTTATGTCCCTAGTAAATTAGCTATAGTATTTTAGAGCCTGTAACCGGAAGAAATCAATCCAAAATTATTGAAAACTGTTTTGTGTGAAGTGTAATTGTACAAATTATATTAAACAAAGAATAAAAGGTAGGCAATATTCGCTAGTCTAATAGTCATAATTAGATTACTTTGAGGCTTATTAAAAGTGTTCAACAATTGGACTACCTATCCAAGTCTGTAGCGTAGGCTTGGGCTTAAGTTTTTAGGCCCTAGGTTTTGTCCAATTAATTATAGTATTTTATAAATAAATAACATTTTTATTTTAAAAATATACTTTTTATCTCTAACTGTATATTTAAGAATTTTAATTTCTTTCTAGATTTTTAAAATAGCCATTCTTAGTATGTAGTAATATATTGGATTTATTTATCCACTAAAATTCCATAAAAGAAAAGTTCATAGTAAGAAATTAGTATCTATCATTTTATTTAAAAAAAAAAACTTTTTGGATGAGAAAAAGTAAATTAAAATACAAGATATTATGAAAATTGGTCATAATAAAAATTGGGTGGATTTACATTAATAATATGAATTAGATCACATTAAATTAACATGGTAATTTTAAAATATGGTCTAATCTTAATTTATTGAATTTACAACCTAATGTCATATATAATAAGATTTAGCTGGCAACTCATTTTTCATTAGCAGATAATCATACTAACTAGATATAGTAATTTTTCTTTAAAAAAAAAACAATAATAATCAACTGTATGGCCTTTGTAAAATGACTTACAGTTTTTTTGACAACTAATTTTGCTGATATCTCTTTAACAATATCTTCAATGAAGTTTGATTCATACCTACAAAAAAGAAAACATACATTTATAGTTACAAAAATATATATATATATATATATATATAGCTTAGTGAAACTGAATATGACAATGATATTAAATAAGCTATCAATTAAAATCTATATTCTTATTAAATCTAAAGATTTGTTGACACATATTTTTTATTTGATAAATTACAAAAAAAAATATTAAACTTTAGTAAAGAAAGAAAGAGTTATAACTTATAACTACCAATTAACTGTTAGTTTAGTATTACTTGAGTCAAGTCAAGGATTGAAGGTCTTGAGTTTGAACTTCCAAAAGATAAAAAAAGAAGTTATAACTTACTGATCTTTCAAAGTATATCCATTGATACCAACCGCTTCGGATAAAGCATCTCGCCACCTCTCCGTCTGATCTTTGTTCTCCTTTTCATGCATGTCAACGTCTTTTTCAGCCTTCTCTCTTTGATGTTTTAAATCGAAGGCTTCAACATAATAGAAAATTGGAAAAACTTGATGTTCCCTTTCCTTCCTCTGTTTCACAATCTCGGCAAGCTCATCTAAACACCAACTTGAAGAAGCATATCCTTTCGAAAAAACAATTATTGAACCCCATGATTCTCCTATTGCTTTCAAGATCTCGGGTGCGATGTCCTTGCCTCTTTCAAGGTTCTTATCATCCTTGAAAGTGTTGATTTTGGACCCAACTAAAGCAGCATATAGATGGTCCGTGAAGTTCTTTCGGGTGTCTTCACTACGAAAGCTCAAGAAAATATCGTATTTCCATGGATAAGTGGAAGAAGACGACAAAGAAGAAGGAGTCACCATGGAGTGGGAGGAAGATAACACGATAACTTGCAGGGTTTGAAATAGTTCCGTTTATCTCAAAAAAATTCCGTAATACACCTACAAACAAACTTAATAATATCAATTCTGAACATCAATAAATTAAACTTTTTGTTGATTTTCAGCAATACCCAGTACTACTTTTATAATTAAAGCTAAGTCGAATCATAATTGTTCATCTTGCTTGACCAAATATTCATGTTCCAAACAAGACCATATAAAATCATTTGAACAATGTTTTTAACAAAGTTAAAATACAATCATTGTAAAGTCAACATTACAGGAAATTGGAAATAATTGAATTGAAAATTACCTGCTAATTTGAACCCCCTTGGTAGCCTGATACTCCTGCAAGACCTCCAACAGGGAAGAAAAATAGTGAAGAAAAAAATGGATGGCAGATAGCAAGAAGCAAACTTCCTTGGTAACTATAGAACCCTGGTAGAAGATATTTAAGGAGTAGGATAACATGATAACTTGCAGGGTTTGAAATAATTCTGTTTGTCTCAGAAAATAGCCCAATACACTTACAAACAAACTTAAGAATATGTAATTTGAACATCAAGAAATTAAGAGAGAAACACATCAATACATTTCAATAAAGGAAGTGAAATAATTAATGCCATTAGGAATTTTATTTTGAATTTATTAGTAAATTCATTCATATAGAATATTGAAGGTAAAAAATTTTATTTCGTTTGATTAGGAATATATATTTCATACAAAGCAATCTTATAGCATGAAAATTGATGCAATGGTGTATATATGTCATTATTATAAGCATGAAATGGAAACATGTAAGCAATTTTCTAACATTGGCCCGAGATAACTCTTTACTTGTAGTACATAGCGATCGTATCCTGTTCTTGGCAGAAACAGTATTAGATATCTATGTTCATCGATCAAGGTAACTAACAACTGTGGGTTACATTAACGTAAACTAGCTTTTTTTGTTTTGGCTACGTTATTTTTTATGAAAAATATAAAAGCTCTTTGTCTCATCTTAATTTGTTTATTGTACTGTAGTCAATTTCATGTTATATTTTATTTTCCTTGATAAGCATAATGGTTGGATTTTTTTAATATATATAATTTAATCATAATTAAAATTTTATTAATTAAATTATTTAAGTAGTCTTGATTTTATATGAAAACTAGACTTTCATTGAAAAGTCATTAGCATCCATGAAAATTGACAACTTGATGGTTGATTAAATAGATTAGAGTTGGTTTAGGGGTTAGACCATTAAGAAAGTTATTTATTATGTTTCACGATATTATTTTCAATTGGTTTTTGTTTTTTTTTTTATTTGGCTATTACAATTGATTAGAATTTTAATATTATTATTGTGGTAGATTAAAATTAATGATTACAATATTTAAGGGAGTTTTTATTTCTGAATTTTAATATCTCCTTTTTTCAATTTTCATTCAAATTTGTTTTAATGTAGGTTCCATAAATTTTAGAAAAAATTATCCAAGAAAACTTAAATAAATTTTGTTAATAACAACAACTAATAAAATATAAAAAGATCTTTTTTGTGTGTATAAGAAAAAAGAAATAAGCATCGATTTAGAAGTGGCAATTGGGCAAGTCAGGTTTTGAGTTAGGTATATTGTTGAAATTAAATATTGAATGTAATTTTTCTTTAATTTGTTTGTAAAAGTAAAATGTAATTTTATTGGAGTTTAACATTAATTAAAGTTAAAAAAGAAATAACACATACTAAAAAGCAAAAATATAAGATTAATATAATTAAATTATAAAAATTTCCTTAAATAAAATTGTTGAATATATTAAGTAGGTTTTATTATAATAAAAGTTTGGTAATTTATTATATAATTTTGATAAATTTTTATATTATTTTAGTAATTTATGATATAATTTTAATAACCATTGGTACTATTTTAGTAAGTTTTGACAAAAGTTTTTGTAATCATAATATAATTAGGGTAAGTTTTAATACAATTGAGATAACTTATGATATAATTTTGGTGACATTGGATACAATTTTGGTAAGTTTTGATATAATTTTGATAACTTTTAATAAAAATTTAATTTTGATAACCTTTAATATAATTTGATAACCATTGTTATAAGTTTGATAATCTTTGATATGATAACCTTTAATATAATTTGATAACCTTTTATATAATTTTTATTTTAAATACCTTTGATATAATTTGATAACCATTGTTATAAGTTTGATAATCTTTGATAAAATTTTAGTAAACTTTTTATATTATTTTGGTAATATATAATATAATTTTACTAATCATGGACACAATTTTGAAACTTTTTATAAAATTGTGATAATAACTTATTAATATAATTTTAGTAACTTTTAATATAATTTTGATAACTTACGATATAATGTTTGTGATCATTAATAAAATTTTAGTAATATTTGATAGAATCTTAGTACTCTTGGATACAATTTTAATAAACTTTTATATGATTTTGATAAGTTTTTATATAAATTTGATTTTGATAACTTTTGATTAATTTGATAGCCTTTGTTAAAAGTTTTATAATTTTGTATAAAATTTTGATAATATTTGATACAATTTATATAACCTTTGATATAATTTTGATAACTTTTGAAATTATTAATACAATATTTAAGCAAACTAATCTTATGCATATTTAAATAACATGGTATTTAAATCTTAATCTTTAAAAGTAAATCAAAAGTATATTAACTTTGTATAATTAAGAGTGAAATACTTTTTGTCACCTAATTTTTCGAAGTTTTTTGTTTGGATAATTATCAATTACATCACAAACATTTATAAGTGTTAATATTGATTATTCAACCGTTAGAAGATAATGGATATTTCACTTAATATTTCAAATAATCACCTTTAAAGCAAACTCTACAGCGCCAAGCTGCTGAGATTAGAAGACAAAATCTAGTTCTGTGGGGAAAAGAAGGAAGACCTGACTTCGAGAGTAAAAGTGAAGTTCCTACAAAAGAAGATTCATTAATTAGTTTTATTTAAAATTTTTATTGAAGATCAATTATTCTTATATTATATTATATTATATTATATTATATTAAGCAATTGAATTTCAATGGAATTTAAAATTTATTAAAATTATTTAAGTTTAATTGTAATTATGTCTAATAATTTTATAAATATAATATAAACAAGATTGAAATTATTATCATCATTATTACTATAAATTATTATTTTTAATATTTATTTTTTAAACATATATAAAATTACACATGCATGACAAGCATTAGTTATAGTAAAATGGGGGAAAGGGTGCGAAATAAAACATACAAATAACCGAACAAAATAGAGAAAATTATATAATAATAGATGCATGAAAGAAAATCAAGCAAACAAATTATATCCCTACAATCAACTAGAATCAAATGAAACAAATAATCTATTCTAGAACTATCCTTTAATTTTTTAACACATGTCTAATATTATGAAATTATTATTTTATTCTTAATCATTACTAATATTAGAGTTAATGTCATAAATGACTTTAAAATTATAATGAAATGTTCAATGTAGTACTTAAACTATGAATATGTTAACAATATGGTACTTAACTCTAATATGCATAGCCATAGCTAGCTTTAAATGATAACATGTAATGGTCAAACAATTTTAAAAGTATCACATTAATAAATAGATTTATAGTTTAGATAACATATTAAAAATTTTTAAAATTCAAATATCAAATTAAACATTTTATTATAATTTAAGAGCTATTTATGTCATTAACACTTAATGTTACCAAAGACCCATACACATTCACGTACACATGTGTACACGACCACAATTTTTACAAGACAACCAATTACCCTTACCACCAAATAATTATAAGAAACTCATCAAATCCAATCCCAAACTCTCTCACACACACACCCAGCCATCCCATAACAATCTCACAACATCTACAAACACAACTCAAACAACCATACACCAAAAAAATCTGAGAAAGAAAGAAAAAAAAAAAAAGAGAAAATGAGGTGTTTATGATTTTCGTTTTGGATTAAAAGGGCATTTAAGTATTTGGAAAGTTTTTATTTTTAGACCATCTGATGGGAAGGGAAAAGGAAAACAAAGAAGCCATTGTCAACGATGGTGGTGGTGGCGGCATGGGGTGTGGATGTATGGTAGCTTATGGAGGGTAATGAGCTTTGAGAAAAGCAAAACAATAGAAATGAAGGCCGTGAAAAGAGAATTAAAGTAATAGGAGCTCAGGATGTTAGAACAAAGGAAATAAATGTAAGAAGCTGCCAGTTTTACTCTTAGATATAGAATAAACAAGAGAATTTTTGAAAAAAACTAAATGATAGTAGTGTAGAGGAGGCTAAGAGATTTGGTGGTGGATTTTGGGTGATTTTCGATGCGATGATCTATGGTAAAAAGTGGAGAATGGCAGTGACATTTTGGCTATGGTTGGAAATTGGATAATTTGAGTGACTAGTTGTGTTTTTATTAAGAAATTTTTGGATGAAGAATGGGATTTTTAGAGACAGAAGTGAAATAAAAAAAAACAAGTTGAAGAAAGAAAGAGTTTTTATAGTGGTTTTTTAAAAAAATCTGCGTGTAAAATGAGTTCACATCCAAAATTCGCGTGAGTTTGGATCCAGATCTGAAACCCGCACATCTTAAAAAGTTATCAGCTGCTAGCGCAAAGCGTGGCTATCACTCTAGTTTGAAGTAAAAGCATTGCTGACACTTCTTGAGAGATTTTTTTTTAGAATCGAAAAAAAAAAAAAGAAGTGAATGAAGATCTAAAAATCAATAACCAAAAAATTTCCTTGCCAATGATTAAGAGTGATTACGATTTGGATTAGATCAGATTTAATTTGATTTTTTCAAATAATGCATAGAATTATGAAGTTTTAAAATCAGATTCGAATCCAAACAAAATTTCCGTACAAGTCCTATTTGAATCAAATTCTGCCAATTTAATTCAATTTTATTTATCAGCTTTTTAAATTTAACTT